ATGCTGCTTTCAGCGGATGTTTCGATGTATCAACAAGAAGAGGAACTTAATACAAGTGAGGAAGACATCTCAGGAAGGGAAGCAAAAACTGAGAGCATCATAAGGGGAAGGGTGAATAGGTCTCTACTTTCTCCCAGGCAGAGGCGGGCCTTGTGAGCCAGAATGTCTCCCCTGGTCTTGTGGCTGGGCTCGAACTCTGCCACTGGAGCCTGGACAGTGCTGTGAAGGATGAGGGAGTCGTTCTTGGGGAAGATGGAGCAGGCCTTACTGGGTCTGTGTGAAGACTCCTCCTGGGAACAGCCTCTAAGGATATGTTTGCTTCTTTGCAGCTTCTCTGAAGGTTAAAGGACCGACAGAGGGGGACTGGCTGGCAAGGTGACATTGCCATTGTTGTCTTCAAGTACCAGCTGATGGCAACTCCCAAAACACCCAAGCTTTTGGGGTCACCAGGAGGCACACATGGAAAGCCCAACCTCTTCACCAGTGAGTCCAGAACCTCAGAGAGAGTGAGGCCACCAAATACCCTCTTCCAGAAGACTTGAGGTTAAGGGTCAGGGACCCCTGCTGCTGACTGACACCACTTAGGTGTCCAGTCACCAATCTGCGCTCCCAAACTGAATCTACTCCCCTCCTTCCCCTTCCTGTCCTCTCCCCTGGCCAAAACACCTCCTGCCAGTGACTTCCTCATTTCTAAAAATAGCCCCAGCACCCTCCCAGCCAGCTTCAGTCACTTTTCATTCCTCCCACTCAGCCCAGCCTACCAATGTCTCTGTAGATGTGTCCTCACACAGCCCTCCACAGTACCCTCTTCCTTGGCCTTGATGCTCCCCCTCCCCAGCCACTGATAGCACAGCTTCAAGTGTGTGCCTCCCTCCATCCATGCTTTCACTGGATCTCACCCTTAGGGGACAAAATAGAACCACAAAACAATGGCCCAGACTTTCAAGCCTCTCTTCATGTTCTCTGTTCTGCCCACATTTTGAAATGGGCCTCGCATGTGTGGGGGTGGGGGTGTCTGTGTGTGAATGTGTGTGTGTCTGTGTCTCATGTTGTGTGTATTTGTGTCTGTGTGTCTCTGTGTCTTATGTGTGTGTCTTTATATAAGTGTGTCTGTGTCTGTGTCTTATGTGTATGTGTGTGTCTTTCTTTTTTTGTATGTGTGTCTGTGTATGTGTGTCTGTATATGTATGTCTATACATCTGTGTCTGTGTGTGCCGGTGTATGTGTGTGTGTTTCTCTGTGTATATGTGTGTGTGTGTGTGTATGTATGTGTCTACGTATGTATGTGTCTGTGTCTCGGCATATGCATATCTGTCAGTGTGTATGTATCTGTGCAGTATGTGTTGTGTGTCTGTGTCTATGTGTATGTATGTCTCTGTGTATATGTGTCTATGTGTGTATATGTCTCTGTGTATGTGTGTGTGTGTGTATGTATCTGTGTGGTATGTGTCTGTGTGTCTGTGTCTATGTGTATCTATGTCTATGTGTCTCTGTGTGTGTGTCTGTGTGTCTGTGTGTGCGTGCGTAGGCACACAGAAGGAAGTTACCAGAAGAGGACCTCAGGTGTCCTGCTCTAGTAGTGTCTTATTCCTTTGAGAAAGGCCTTCACAGAACCTAGAGCTAAGCTGCCAACCAGCAGGCCCTAGTAATTCTCCTGCCTCTGCCCCCCATAGTTCTGGGGTTTCTCCAGGCTCAGGTGCAGCCATCCCAGCTTTTGATGTGGGCTAGGATCCAAATTCAGGTCCTCACTTTTGTTCACTAAGCCATCTCTTCAGCCCCGCCCTGTGCTTCTGGGCCTGTTATTTTCTCCATTTAAAAGAAAAGCATGTCAGTTTTCCAGACACGGATGCACTGCTCAGGCTGGAGAGATGGTATGCTCTCTCTGTCTGTCTCTGCTTTTAAGACAGGGACCCAAACATCTCATCGGGACCCTGAACTCCATGTTCTGTGTTCTGCCCACATTTTGAAGTGGGCCTCGCATGTGTGGGGGGTTGGGGGGAGTGTCTGTGTGTGTGTCTGTGTCTCATGTTTGTGTATTTGTGTCTGTGTGTCTGTCTTATGTGTATGTGTGTGTCTTGGCGCTACCTCTCAAGTGCTGAATTTGCAGATACTGTGGCCAGTTTAGACAGCGCTGGGGTGTCAAATCCAGGGTCTCATACATGTTAGGCAAGTAGTCCACCTTGCCTGCTACTCACAGCCTTTTTAACCCCGGGACTGACCTGGCAACCGTTTCTGACCACCCCCACAACAGCACCCCTTTTATTACACAGACAGAAGCACAGCTCTCTGGAAAGCACCCAGGTTCTCTTCCCCCTTGGTAACAGTTTAATAAGTGACTGCCACTTACTATCTGTGTGGTAGTGGGAAGACGCCTCAGCCTCTCTGCACCAGGCTTTCCTCGCTTGTACCTTTCAAGGTGGTTGAGAGGACTAAGTGCGACCATCTGTGGGACAATGCCCAAGTCATCAGTACTCAATAAACGGCAGACAATTAAGGTCACCTCTGTGCCTACCTCAGATGGCTCACGCCAGCCAGCTGCGGGCTTGTCTGTAGACACACGTGAATGGGCATCTCCTGCGTATCAAGCTCTATCTTCAGCCTCATCGGGTGACCTTAAAGAGTTTCTGAGCCACAGTCTTCCCTCCCTCAAGGTGAACATGACCCTGGCAGCGGGCACTCCCCATTCACACTGAGGTCCCCTCCAAAGCTCAGCAGGACTGGAACCACAACACTGGAACCATTTGGGGAGCAGGTTGGAGCACCCCCATTTCACCATCAGAGTTGCAGAGGGTTCCCCGGGGCTTCCAAACCGTGCTCTTCAAGTGACTATAACAGTGGGAGGGAAAACAAAGCCAAACAAAAACCTGTGGGCTTGGTTGATGCTAAATGGACCTACACGTGCTAAATCAATCACACTCAACTTCAACACAGCCTAATGTGCTCCCCCAGCAGCTCCATCAGGAATTAGTTTAGAAGAGATTTCCGGCCTCAAGCACAACGATGATGACCAGATGTGACCAGAAGAAAGATGCTGATATCAATGACAGGGCCTATTCAAGGACATCAAAAGGGCTCGCCATACCTCAGAGAGGTGCAGGCATGAGGAAGGTACTGCTTAGAAAACCCAGGCCGAGAGAGCAAGGCTTGACTTTGAGTGGGCTCCAAGGACAGCATCTCCAGCAAGGGATGCTTCCAGCCCAAGGTCAGTCTGTGCAGTTCCCAAGAAAGTGTTTCCTGAACACAGAAAGGGGGACCAACTCCAACGGCTCCAGAGGACTAGAAAGCAGTGGTCTTGTCACCCATGTCTCTCTATAACTGTTTCTCATGCCATGCCACTGTGAAGACCCAAAGCTTAAGGTCCTTAAAGCCCACCCAGCTCCCATGTCCTGGGAACCACAGCAAAGAGGACAAATGTTTGTCAGGGGCATTTTTCTTGCCAGCCCCGGGGACTACAGACGTTCAAGACTCACTCTTGACATCCACAGCTAACAGCAGTTGTGACAGGAACCCAAGCTGGAGCTCTGGAGGGAGCGCCTGGGACCCCAGGCTTCTCTAATGAGTACCACCCCTGGCCCCAGCCACCTCCTTTCCCCTACGACCTAAACAGGGAAGGACCCCAGCCACAGTCTCTCACTTCCCTTTTCCTTGGACAGAAAGATAACAACCACAACAGCATTTCCCTTAGAGACTTGCTAGAACCTTTGCCTCCACTGCACGGCTTTCTTGAGGGCAGGGGTACGCACGTGTATGTGTTCCTGGATGTAGAAGCCAGAGGATGATGATGGTTGCCTTCCTCAATCACTCTCCGCCTTATTTACTTTTTGAGACAGGCTCATTCACTGAACCTGGAGCTCCCCGGTTCAGCTAGGCTAGCCAAGGAGCCCCAAGGATCAGAACTCCTGTTTCTACCTCCCCAGTGCTGGGATTTTTCCAGGCAGGTGCTAGTGAACTAAAGTCAGGTTCCCGTGCTTATATGGAAAGCATTTTACCAACCAGGCCAAGGCCCCAGGCCCCTTCATAGCTTTCTGACGACTTCCATTTCCGCTCTGGGCCCAAGCTTTTTTCTCCATTCGACACTTCCCTTCTGGTTCTGTTCCTGCATCCTGCTCTGTCTTCCTTTCCTTACATCTATCAAGACTCTACAGAAAACACAGACACACACAGAGGCAGGCAGAACTCACAACACTGTCCCCATCCATCTCCTGTGTCTGCGGTGGCTACATCCTTCCCAGGATTGGCCTCCCTCTAACTTCTCCTCCTTCAAGTGGGAAGAAAGCCAACCATGGCATCCCCTGTCCCCTCCTCTCTTGCCTCCCTGCCTCTGCCACCCCACCCCAAACACACAAAAGGGGGCCGAGGCACCAGATGGCCCAGTGCTAACAGAGGGCTCACAGAAGCCCTGCTGGGCCTTCAAGCTTGTCCAAGCTGCTGCAGGCCCAGCCGCCCAGCTGGCAGAGGAGCAGGGCACAGGGCCAGTCCTCAGCACCAGGCCAGCCCAGGAAGGGGCCATGCCTGCCAGCTGAAAAGTGAAGGATGCTACCACATGTCTGAGCATCAGACATTATGGGCATGGGCCTGATGACCTGTCAGAACCCAGCTTTCCTGCAGGGAGGGAGTACTGGTGACTTCTGTGGGACAGAGGTGTCACAAGAGGCTGCCACCACTCCACAAAGGCCATGAAAGATGACTTCATGTTGTGGTGTGTATTAATGACTATCATTTATCCGGTAATATTCCTAATCTTACAATAGACCGGCAAGGTAAAGATTGTTAACCCCATTTTACAAAGAAACTGAATCTCCGAGAGGTTAAATGACTTCCCGCGTGTTATAGTAAGATATTATAGTGACGCAATCTAAGGTTTCTTTTCCAGTCAAGATTTCACTAGTCCTTAAATGGAAATCTTCTAGCAGTTGGCTGCCTTTGGGAAAGCTTCAGAGTGCAGAGGGACGGTTCCAATCCTGCTGCATGTGGCACACGCCAGTGAGGTCTTTTTTTTCCACGTCGCGCTGCCAGGCCTGCCACCGGGGTTCTCCGGGGTCATTTGGGCAGAGTAAGGCAGCAACGCCAGGCCTATGGCAGAGGGAAAGGCACGTGAATTTTTCAAAGCCTCAGTGGTCTAGGACAGGGAAGAAACATGGAGAGACAAGTGGGATTACACACCTGTGATCCTAGCACCTAGCACTTTGGAGGCTAATGCAGGAGAATCACAGTTCAAGACCAGCCTATGCTGCACCGGGAGAGCCTTTCTCAAAATAAATAAATAAATGAATGGATGAATGAATGAATAAATAAATAAATGGGAGAAAAGAGGAGATGATGTTTGACTCCAGCAGTGAGTTAGCTATATATATAGACACTTGGCATGTTGCCAACATAACGTAAGTGCCCTGTTGACGTCAACTCTCTCGCTTCCTTCTAAACCTGAGATTCCAGGGTCCACATTCAGAGATCAACAAACTCTCACTCTCCTGTTCCACTGACCTTTGATTCGTATGCTAATAAATGCCTGTGTACCCTGTCCCCAGGCCATCTCCCATAGGGCTACAGGACAAACTAGGCCACAAGCCAGCGTAGGCTCGGGATTTCCAGGGCTGGGACCTCTGCTCTTAGAACTTTCACGGAAAGGGCTGGGAATTGACCCACTCCACCCACAGAAGGTCAATATCCAGCCAGGCTGAGCTTCTAGAAACCAGTCCTTTCGGTAGACTGGCCCTCCTCCTCCTATTCTTTCCCTGACCTACTAAGGGGCTGATGTTGAAAGTCACAGAGACTAACTGCCCCTAGGACAGTGACAGGCTCGGCCCCCGGCTGGGACTGTCTTCTCTGGCCATCCACCGTCACCTCTCAGGGCACTTGTCTCCCACAAACACTGGGCACCCGCCGACTCCTACCCACCACCCACCGCCCAGCTTAGAAAGGCCTCCTGCTGCACCCTTCATTGTTGACAGAGACAATTTTAAGTTACCTTGAGGGTTAGAATCTTTCCTTTTCAACTTCCAATAAAGAAGAGGAGCTGGGCATATTGGTGCATGCCTTTAATCCCAACACTCCGGAGGCAGAGGCCGGCGGATCTCTGTGAGTTCGTGGCCAGCCTGGTCTACAGAGTGAGTTCTGAGGGCAGCCAGAGCTATGCAGAGAAACCCTGGGGTAGGGGGAGTGTCCAGGAAATAAATACCTGCTGTGCTGTGCTGTTCTGAGTTTCCTGTTTGGAGCACATTCAAACCTGCTGGCATTCTCCCAAGCAGCAGGCACCTTGGGCACCGTGCTGGGGGCATCACGCACTTCACCTCCCCAGCCTGAGAATTTGAGAGCAGGGCCATTGTGTTCATTTTATCCATGAGGACTCTGTCGGTGAGTCCCGGGATCCCACACTAGAGCATTTTCTAACCTGCCAGAGCTTCTCCAAAGACCTAGCCTGGGTCTGTTTATCTCTTTCCCTCTTTGTTGCCCTCATTCAGAGGGTCACTATTGGAGGCGACACTGCCACTTTCCTGGGGGCACTCTAATGCCTCCTTTCTGTTCTCCTTCCTCATGATCAGGGTCCTTACCACCCACCCATCTTCACCCCAGCCAGGGAAGTCCCGCTCTTCACACTCCCCTGCAGCAAGGGGAAGAGAATCAAACTGCTTTGACCATATGGCAAATGAGAGTGATCTGGTCCCGGCTCCCGTTCCTGCCTCTCCTGAGCCTCCCTTCCCTCAGTCATCCACTCTGGCCTCGCTGGCCTCCTCTTCTTCCCTCCAGCCTTGTCCTAACCTGGACTCCTGTCACTTTTTCTCATCTTGTCACTCTGTATACTATTTTATGTTTTTCGTCGTGTGCATATCTTACTCTCTAGTCTACTGTTGGGTGTTTTGTTGTTGTTGTTGCTTGTTTGTTTCATGTCTTCGCTGACCACTGTAAAATGTCCCGGGATAATTTGGCCCCATTTCTCGTGGCACCCTTCTTCCTGGGACAACTCACCAACAGCAGGTGTTCACTAATAACCCAGTGGGGGAACAAAGCAACAACGCTGAGGAGACTCAAGTAAAAAGCCGAAAGCCTCAGAGAAGAGGGGAGTCAGTCTGACCTGCAGTGGGAAAGAGCCCCGCTGAGCAGCTGTGGGAGAAGCCTCCTAAGGCCTGGTGCATGAAGGAGACAGCCAAGGGTTGTCTAAGGACAGAAATCTCTTTGGAAATTGGAAAGGTACAGAAAGAAATGTTGGGGCCTGGGGATGTAGCCCAGTTGATAGTATCTACCTAGCATGTACAAAAGCCTGAGTTCAATCTCCAGCTCCAAACAAAACCTGTAGTGACACCAGTAACCCAGCCCTGGAGAAGGACGATCAAAAGTTCAAGGTCAACAACAGCTACCTAATGAGGTTGAAGCTGGTTTAGGAGGCATGCAACCCTGCCTTTGGAGCATGCAACCCTGCCTTTGGAAAAGTTAGTTCTGGGGCCTGGAGAGATAGCCTGGTGGTTAAGAGTTCCGGCTTCTCTCCTAGAGGACCCAGAGTTGAGCCTCAGCACCTGTACAACAGCTCACAACTGTCTTAGCTCCAGTCCCAGGAGAGCTAATGCTTGCACACTTACAGGGCATAGGCATACATGCAGGCAAAACCATGTGTAAAATAATAAAAATAATTTAAAGAAAGAGAAGCTTTTCGGTGGTGGTGGTGGTGGTGGTGGTGGTGGTGGTGGTGGTAGTGGTTAGCTTTTAATACCACTCAAGGGGGTTCTGCCTTGGCTCAAAATGAGCAAACACTTAAACATCTAGAAAAGAGAGGATGTGGGAAATGAAGGGAAGAAAATGTGGGCTCACATGAAAGAGGTGGCCTCAGTTTGATCTTGGATACATGGGCTCTCGGGACTCTCGAGGAGGTTGATTACAGAAGAAAATCAAAGGAGAAAGTGGAAGAAGAGGAGTGGGAGGGGGAGGCATCTGCAGTTGTTAGCCAGATAACCCAGCTACCATGAAAAGGGAATGGCCATTGGTAGAGACCTTCATGGGGAAGGTAGTCTAAGGTAAGGCCGCCAGTCACAGCAGGCACCCCGACTTCAGAGAGGATTCTCTAGCCTCTCCCCCAGCCCCAAAGCCTGTGCCTGTCTGGGTTTCTCCCTCTGAGGTTTCTGTCCCTAAGGACACTCACTGCTCGGTACCTTCAGCTAAATGGCACCCTGCCTATTTCTCTCGGGTATCAGCTTTACTTGGTTACATGGTGAGAGGCAATGCTTTTATGAAACAAACATGGGTTTTATTTTGCAATATATGCAAACTACATGTGGGTTTTGAGATGGAATGTGAGTCTTCGGTACATTTTACACTGCAGCCATGGCTATAAACACCCTGAAGGGTATTTATTCCCGCTCTCATTCGGAGCTGTCACTAACAACGATAGTAGAGTGGGTGTATGCATGGGTTGGTTATGAAGCTGCAACACTAGAATCTCTGAACTCAATTCCCTCACCTATCTATATCTATAACATTGGCCCGATAGGAGCTTCATAGAACCACCGAACGCATACATTTCAATGGCTTAGAACAATGCCTTGCTCCAGGTCCCAGGCTTTTTGTGGTTGTTTGCTTGCTTGGTTGGTTGGTTGGTTTTGTTCTAGTGGGTATATTGAGAAGACAGATACCAATCTTAGCTTCAATTACCTTTAATGACCTTGTCTCCCAACAAGAGCTTTGGTGACACTGGGGAAGAAGGACAGTGATCTGGCTGGTGATGTGACCGGGACACATCCAGAGATGGAGATGGAGGAACGACGGAACGTTAACTCTGCCTTCGGCCACAGATGGCTTGCCTGGTGTGGGTGTGGAATGCTCTTCCTGGCTATTCACCATCACCGTTTCCTCTTTTGCTCCCAAACTCTAACTATCCTGAGTCCTGGAGCTGTGACTAAGGGGAAGCGAGGTAGATGCCTTTGGCCTGAACTTTCGGGAGGCATTCGATGTCAGTGGTGCTGACAAGCGCTCAGTATTAAGTTTAGCTGTTACTACCTCCAAGAAACTCCCTGACTCTCACCCACCCAAGATTTACTGGATGCCCCTCACATCCTATCAAATGCCACTGTAACCACCTGTTTTCCATCGGCTGTCCCCCTGCCCGTGAACTCCTAAACACAGCACACATGTCCTCATCCTTTTGATTCCCATGGAGCCTCCCATATGCTCAGCAGAGAGAAAATACCCAATAATCTTTTTTTTTTATATTTTTTGTCCCCCCCCCGGAACATTAACACCCCGCATTTATTTATTATCTGTATATTTCTTAGAGCATCTCAGCAGCTCTCTTTTAACTGCCCAGCTCCTCAGAACCTGTGCCTTCCCCTGGCACCCCTTTGTGTTCCCTTTGTGGCAGCCTTTGCCAGGAGTGCCCAAAGTCCATTTGCACTTCAATTTCAGCCATGCCTCCTGTTCAGCTCTTTCTCCTTTTCTGTGAGGCTCTGGCATACTCCCTCCCCATGCACAAGCAGCCCTTTCTTCGCCGCTTGGCACCGCTTGGGACTCTCATGCATGCCTGCCTTCTCTCTCTCTCTCTCTCTCTCTCTCTCTCTCTCTCTCTCTCTTCACTTCTGCTCTGCAGCAGGCCCAATAATCTTTTATGAGTTTAAAAAAATGCAGTAAATTATTTTTGAGATGAGCTCAAGAACTTGGGGGTGGGGTGCTAAACTATCCCAGTGGGCTGAGACTAGGAAGGACATGGACAGAAGAAGACAGAGTCGATGGAGTACTTGGAATGTCTTGTGGTTAAAAGACCTTAGGGATGGATATCTAAGAAGGAAAACACTCTGTTCTCCCTGAAAAGATCACTCAGTCATTCCTTCACCTATGCAGCATCTTGTCCTGAGTGCCTGCTGGCACCGGATGCTCTACCAGAGTAACGAGAACGATGAATGCATATGTTCCTACTCCAGGCCGCCCTGTTTCTGCTTCTCTTCATGTTGACGATGGTCATTTAGGCACAGGCCTAAGCGTGCCTGATCCTGGTACACTGTAGAGTCACAGAGATCTCAGCCATTAGGACAGCTTGCGGCCATCCACCTTCAGGAATGGAGTTTAAGGACAGTTGCAGTAAGGTGTGTCAGAAACAGGCCCTACATGCTCTAGCAGGTCCAGCTCGCTACGGTTCCTTGGGTCGCCTATATTACACATCCTCTTGTTTCTGGATCCCTAACCCTTGCTCCCTCCATTCTGTTAGTCCTTGTAGATCCCCTAAATGGCCAAAAGATAATCTCTACACTGAAAAGGCTACTTTAACTAGGAGAGACAATTGCAGGCAGTGGATAGAGCAGAGCAGTTGCCTAGATTTGAACCACAGGTCCAGCTGTCACAAGTGAGCAGTTATTATTGAATCACCCCATCTTACCCCACTGTTAACTAAATGGCCTGACATACACAAGGACTCTACACACCCACAGTGGGCCTCGACAAATACTAACATGTACACACGGCTTTGTAAAGTTTCTTCCTGTAGCTGGAATGCTTCAGCATCTCCTTTCTTAAAACGGTATTTTTGAAAGCTATCCATTTGTCAGATACCTACCCTACTTGTTAGTTATTTGTCAAGCATCAGGTGACTTCCTATTTAGTCACCGGAGAATTGAGCTCTGCGGTGGAGACAGGTGGTTTGGGAAGGCAACACCGTCAGCTAGGGAAGCTGAAAGTGCTAACTGAAAAGGAGGACCTGGGTTAGGTTGGGAACCCTAAAAAGGAGTTTGGGAGGTGACAGCAAAAGCAACCCAGAAAGAAAGAAGAGGCTGAGCAAACCGTGGGTGAGGGGCATGTGCCACACTGCAGGTGTCATGCTGGGACTCGGAGGCATCACAGATAAACTTGGGCCAACTTCAAGGGGTCTTTCATTGAAAATACTGCCTTTATTTTTATTTTGAAGGTCCCAGAGAGATACTCTTTGACAGCAGATCGGAAGAAGATGGGCAAGGCTTCAAACGCGATCAGTCTGGAGGTCACTGTGATACCCAAACAAATTACTGGCTGGGTTGAGCCAGTGACCCAGGAGTGGGACCGAGAGATATTTTAGTGGCATGAAAAGCAGAGACAGCAAGTAGGGATGAGAGGAAGGGAGGCACCCAGGGGAAAAAGGTCACTGAAGGCTGGGGGCTGAAACAGCACAAATCAAG